GTCTTGGATTTTGGTACTGGTATGTACCCCGGTTGAAACAGGAAAAAGTTTCCTGAGTCATGTATGAAGGGTGGATGTATATTATGTTTTTTTTTTTGATTACGAATCTGATAATGTGTGCTGCTTAATTGGACCAGTTATTTGAGGAACGTTTTTATTGAAATGATGGGTGGACGTATACTACTGAAACGCACTCTATCAAGCAGAAGTGGCGGCGGCATTGGAGAACACCTTGCAGTATTGATGGGGCACTTGTGATTTCCGTGACCCGTCGCGCAAATCGCGAAAATCGCGAAAATCAGCGAAACCTGCGACGGATCTTAGACTCTGACACCAGCCTAAGGCTCAGTCCTAAACACTTACGATAAAAGAATGTGCTTTCCGTGGTTCTGAACGCTCTGAACACTTCATACCGGAACATTTTATTGATGAGGCCCACAATATGAACTATGCCTGAGGCGTGTGAAAGGAGTCTCCAGAGTGCGCAAGCAAATTTCACTTTCCCCAGAGTTTCGCCCCTATACTAGGCTTTGTTCTAAACGATGTCCCCGTATCTCGCGATCGCACTTAAATTCTGTTGTGTGCTCTACTTTATTTAAGTAACAGTGTCCACAGTATTCATTTTTCACGTTTCAGTGGCTGGCTACGACTTCAGGAGCTCGTGAGGACGAGCTCTCGCTCGATAGCTGCCACAGTGCGTTCAGCCCGGTGCCAAGAAAGTGAGTTGATTCTCGTGCTTGTTTAAATGACGATGGTTCACTGCTATTTCTTACGAGTTCGATATTCATATTTGATCATATCTCGTTGAAATTGAAGTTATGCGTACTTTGTTTAATTATTTGCTCGGTAAGGCTGGTGTCAGAGTCCGCGATCCGTCGCAGGTTTCGCGTAATTCTTTTTTGCTTTTTTGTAACTTTTCTTTCAATCACTTTCCGAAATGAATTGGTGGACCCTGACCCGAGCTGCAGCAGCGTGTATAAAATTTCAACCAGCGGAGGGAAGAATGTGTAAGAACGCATCAAGTTGACTATGTATGGGATGATATTCTCTTGGCATTCCCAAGTTAATATTAAGAGGTGGAAGATACAACGATATAATTGCATCTGAACATTTTTGTATCATTCAAATTCGAGAACGACGGCATATGCAGCGAGTATTGGTCATGGAGTTTTCGTTGTGGAACCTGCGATTTACTCAAAACGCGTGTTTAGCATAATATCTGAAAGCGATCCAAGAAGTAAGACATTGATCGCCACATGAGAAATAAAGGGTCGAAGGGACGCGTTTCAGAAGCTTTTGATTTTAGATCCCATTTTGTTCACCCTTGTTGGGAACAGTTGCTTTTGTTCTCACCATAGATGTAGAATTTTTTGCCGACCAGTGTTCTTTTGTACCAGTCTTGGTTGCACTAAAAACTTAATAATCGTTTCCAGTAATCATTTGGAGTTGTGTATGGAATCCTTTCAATTTTTGTAAAATCTGATTCTTTGGTTTCTGAATCTTATTCATTCATTCCGGTCGTCTCGTGCAGTTTACCCTGAACTTCACTTTAGTGGACGCCAGCTTCTTCGCCAAAAGTGCAAGCTCCCGAATTTGTTAAGCAGCCGCTTATCAGTTTAATTGTCTGCCAAAACACGGGAAAAACTTGAACTATATCATGCATCATAAATCATTCATAGTATTAGTCATTACTATAATGCATGACTTGATATATGAACCGGTTCTTTTTCTTGAAAGGCCCTTGAGATACACCATTCTGGCGGATTTTGGGCTTCCTCCGATTTATAATTTTTTCGCTTGAGGATTGTATTCGATATCTAAAAACAGTAGTTCAAATGATGTTTTTCATAGATGAAGCGAACCGTTATTCTAGATTCTGTCATCTGGGTGTCACGGAATATTAGCAAAAGGGCAGCAAGGGATTTTTAATAATCCTGTTAATGTGGAAAATGGGTAGCAAGGCTGACTATAATTATGCACCAGGTCCTTCATGTTAGTGCGGCTTCCCAAAGCTGTACAATTGATTGTATGCTCAAATGGCATTTTTGCTCATAGGTTGAGCTGCACATTTGCTGATTTTACGATTATTTTTGTAAAGGTGTTAATGCTTTCGAAAAGGCTCGCAACTAAAGTAGCATGTGCTGAGAGAGCTATCATTCCTGAGTAGTTTTCTTTTCTGGAGGTCAAAAAGATTGGTAATTCTCGTTTGCTAACTAAAGTACCGTTTGCAGTTGCGGGACATTTTCAATAGCATCCACTTCTGTCCCGGAAAACTACTACGCTGTTCCCGTTGGAGAGACGCAAATGGTGATCTTGAAAAGATATGAGAATCTTCGGTTGATCGGATCAGGAGCTCAGGGTATCGTTTGGTGCGTTGCAAAGTTTTCCGTTCTTGTATTTTTGAAGAAATTTCTAAATGAGGATCATGAAACGTTGAACAAGTTTTCAAAATGAGTGGTTTTTGACGGATTTCGATGTATCATATTTACTGTTTACCGTCGTGAATTCTACAGAGGTTTTGCGCAGTGTTTAAGTGGAGAGCCGTAATTTTTTTTGCAGAGGTTGAAAAGTAAGAAAATTTTCCCGATACCGTGAAACTTTATTGCATGCTCACAGAAGAAACTAAAGAAGGGAGGACTTGAAAGTGACGTCATGAGAACCCAAGAAGTATTTCCCTATCCATCCACATTTTCATATTTTTTTAGCGCTGCGACGGACACAGTAACCAACAAGCCGGTTGCCATAAAGAAGTTGTCTAGACCTTTTCAAAATGTCACGCATGCAAAGCGGGCTTATAGAGAATTTATTCTTATGAATCTAGTCAATCATAAAAACGTAAGTTTGTAAATTTTTTTCTCTAGAATGTGTTCGCATGTGAAAGTCTTGTCGTGAAATGCTGATTATTTTAGATTATTGGTTTATTAAACGCATTCTCTCCTCAGAGAGAAGTGGAAGAGTTCAATGATCTCTACATTGTTATGGAACTTATGGATGCAAATCTTTGTCAGGTAAGAATTCTATAGCACCCTTTTGTGGTATCCATAACGCCGGTTTAAAGTCGCAAATTATCTCATTCGGAAAGCCGAAATACTACTGTTTCATGACGGCATGCATAATATGACACTGCGCGTGCATATTTGACTGATTACGTAGTGATCTCCTCTGTTGTTCATTTGAAAAGAAAATATAAATCACAGACCCCTGCCAACAGCTTTTTATCTTGAATGCAGCATTAATTTCAACTTGTCTAACAACTTGAAGCATCCTTTTTTCCTTCCCACAACTTTACTTGTTTGTGAATTTTCAACAAAAATGCATCTGTTTCTTTAACATGTTTTTGAAATGGTTTGCATTCTGTAGCCCTTGATTTTTTTCCACCGAAACTTACAATGTCTGGAGAGGTTTCTTTTTCAGGTTATACAAATGGATTTGGATCATGAGCGGTTATCCTATTTATTGTATCAAATGCTATGTGGGATCAAGCACTTGCATAGTGCAGGGATTATCCATAGAGTTCGTTTGTTTTTGAATAAGAAAATTAATTGCTCACAAAATCCAGAGCTGTCACCATCCCAAGTTTGTTTTGAATAGCATGAGAGCGATTTGAGGAAAAATGGTTTGCTCCTAGTTGTTACGTTTATTTGTAAACCCATATTTGGGCAGGCTCTCATATAAAGTAAACTTTTCCGGTCCTGCTTCACTTTTTGACGGTCACATCGTTATGTTATAGGACCTCAAACCATCGAATATCGTGGTGAAAAGTGATTGCACATTGAAGATCTTGGATTTCGGGCTGGCCCGAACAGCCGTTGATGCGTTTATGATGACGCCTTATGTAGTCACCCGGTACTACCGTGCACCTGAGGTTATTTTAGGAATGGGATACGGAGAGAATGGTTAGTTTTTCTATTGTTATGTTATCTCTATTACATGACCAGTATGTATAATAGTCAGAGGTAGAAGACAGTGAAGGAAAAAATAAAATAGGAAACTAAAAAAATATTCAGGCTCTATTTTATACCCTTTTTCATTTTATGCATCTGTATGTATCTTATCATATGCAATTCAGTTTTACTTCACGACATTAGATTCAAATTGTCGCATAAGATGCATTTCAGATCAAAACAAAAAACACCATCCAGAAGCAAACAAATTTTAGGTTGTCCCATAATTAGCGAATCACTTTGGGTATTTTTAAATTCAATTTTTTTCTTCTCTATTCGAAGTCCTTGCTCATCCTAAACATACTACTCTATACTCTATACCTCTTTCATCTATAATGTATTGCTTGGGAATTTAGTTGCTGTCTTTCCTCTGGAACTGCGATAGGTCTTGAACGAAGAAGGTCTGAAAGTTGGGTTTGAGGTCGTATCACTTAGCATAAAATTTCTTCTTGGAGAAAGAGAGGCTAGAGCTCAGAGAAGGGCCCTTAGCTGGTACGAGGATAGTGCTACAACAACGAAGCCGAAAGAGCTGTTAGCCTGAGAGTCGCCAAATTTTTATAAATAATCTACCCAAGGTGGGTCGAACGACCTCAGAAAAAAAGCCGACTTTGTCTTGCTTTGCTTTCAAATTGAACACGTTGCCACTGTGCTGTCCACGTTTGCCTTCTTCACTAATTCTAGTATTACTGGGCGGCGGTTCTCAGCGCAAGGTTCTTTTCTTGTTTCACCAACACTTCAGAAGTGTGGAACTTACAAGGGAAGGATACCAAGTCGAAGTGGCCATTTGTAACGAGACCTACACCACTAGATGTGTTTTTGGACGCTGATCTCGAATCTGTTCTCCAAATCTGCGGAACGATTCTCTGAACGTAGTTGTGAAGCGAAATAGTGCAGTGGCAGCTGCCCGGGCCGAGTCTGCTTTTCCTTCTACACTCTCACCCCCTGGTTGACAGAAGCTTTGTAACCCAGTAAATGTAAAGTGGTTCACTAATTATGGGACAACCTAGTAGCAAAAATAGCTAGAGAAGTGAAGAATTGGAAAATCTGTGGCGTGTATGAGTTTATATACTGCGACTGAACTCAGGTCATGTAGATGCCGTCTAGGTATTTTGAAGTAAATTTGGAAGGGATTTTTTCAACGGGCTATGAAATTAAGGCCCCTTTCTCCCATATCAGGCATACCAATACTTTACCTCTCACACCTTAGGACTTGCTCATGTGAAATTACTTTTCCTGTTCGTGGTGATAGCTTTGTATTACCAACCCAGCTCCATGTGGCTTCTATCATCCATTTAGAAGTATAATCCACAAAAATCACATGTTAAACTGCTTGATTTTTCTTTGGAATGATGTTTAAATAAGAAGTAGTAAACATGCAAACTTTCCTAGTGTCGATTTATATGAATCAACGATTGTGCATATTTTCCTTCAATTTAGTCGATGTGTGGTCGGTCGGCTGCATCTTTGGCGAGCTCATCAGAGGGCGAGTTCTATTTCCTGGAGCCGATCACATCGATCAGTGGACACGAATCATTGAGTTGCTTGGCACTCCAGATTCGCAATTCCTCAGCCGGCTTCAGCCAACTGTACGGAATTATATGTTGAGAATAGGCCTAAGTGAGTCATTTTGCCTTTTATGAGTTCTACTTCGATCTTCTCGGCATAACTGTAGAATGTTATGGCATTTGTAGATATCAACCAGTTCCATTTGAAACGTTGTTTGCTGACAATATGTTCCCTCCTGGTGCTGACAATGCACGTTTAACAGGTATGTTACCATCAACCCTACATTACAGTTGTGTACATATGCAATTAATTTGCACACTTTAACAATTTTAGCTGCAAAAGCTCGGGATCTCCTTGCGCGAATGTTAGTGATCGATCCCGAAAAAAGAATATCTGTTGATGATGCGTTAGCCCATGAATACGTGAACGTGTGGTATGATGCATCTGAGGTAGGTGAAATTTATATGGAAATCTTGATTTGAATGAATGTGTGGCTTCCCAGTATTTTTGTCGCTTCCTAACTCACCACCAAGACTTTGGGAAAAATTGAATGTTACGCACACTGCGGCTGTTGCTGCGGATTTTAGTTGGAAAATTTATTGTGTGGTAATTGAAATCATTGTCTAGACGGGTGACTCGAGTGTAATTTACTTTATGAAACAAAGTTATCGGAGCAGTTGTATTCGTAGCGCGCCCCTGTAAGACTTCTAGTGTCGGAAGCCATTGATAAAACGGATAAATGATTAAGCATTTGCCGTTGATCAATCCCTTTCAGGATGCGGCAGCTTCTATATTGTCCATTCGAGTGGCGTCAGCGATGGGGCCTACACATGACTACGGAAAGCCACAAAGTCGTGTTTGGCATGCTATGAATCTGTGTACCAATTACCGAAGGGTGTGTCTCAAGTGGTACGAATGGAAATTTTAGCACCTAATTAGTGCTGCGTCGCGACGAGGTGCGAAGTGACCTCAAATTTTGGCACCTAATTAGTGCTGCCTCGCGACTAGGCGCCAGCTATCTGTGGGCGAGACGCGCCGTACATGTCCATAATGGTGCAAAAGATTGGCGAACAGCGATTTCGGAAGGAAAAAGGTGATTTTAGATGAAATGTGATTATTCATTCATTATTACTACTTTTCAATCTTTCTAAACTTCGTGAACAAATCAAAGTAAAATTGATGTTCATATTTATTATATAACTATTACTATTACTATTATCATTGTTATTATTATTCATTATTATTATTAGCCACTATACGTTTTATCTTGGTTAGGAAAATCAGTGAAGAAGCACAAAAAGTATCCAAAATATGTCAAATCTCATAAGCAACTATATAGACTTATTAGTTATGTATTGGACATTCTTCTACAATACGAAGCAATTTGATCGGGGCTGGGCCTTCCTGGTAAACTTCGTCGAATCTGTAAAAAATGGTCATGCTCGTTGAAAGGGAGATTAGTTTAGAAACTGTCAAACTTTGCCATATCTTCCCACATTTTATCTCTTCTGTCCCTGTGCTCTCGCGTTCTCTGGATCCCAGAAGGAATTCATACAAATGGTAGCATGGGTAAAACTATTTTGCATTTTTACACGACTTTCTATATGTCAAGAAGTGTGGGGGGTTCTGCAAGCTATATTCCGCGGTGACTACGGAGAATATCGCATTGTAGAAGAATGTCCAATACATAACTAATAAGTCTATATAGTTGCTTATGAGATTTGAACATATTTTGGATACTTTTTGTGTTCTTTCACTGATTTTCCTAACCAAGATAAAACGTATAGTGGCTAATAAATAATATAATAATAATAATAATAATAGTAATAGTAATAATAACAAATATGAACATCAATTTTACTTTGATTTGTTCACGGGAGTTAGAAGATTGAAAGGTAGTAGTAACGAATGAATAATCACATTTCATCTAAAATCACCTTTTCCATCCCGAAATCGTTGTTCGCCAATCTTTTGCACCCATTATGGACATGTACGGCGCGTCTCGCCCACAGGTAGCTGGCGCCTAGTCGCGAGGCAGCACTAATTAGGTGCCAAAATTTGAGGTCACTTCGCACCTCGTCGCGACGCAGCACTAATTAGGTGCTGAAATTTCCAATCGTACCACTTGAGACACACCCACGGACCCGTATTTTGAGGCCTTCGATCGCGTGGTAAGCGTCCCAGCTTGCCACTACCATTCCTCCTCGAATTATGGGTATAGCAGATTTGATGCGCAGACGACTGGATGTCGAACTGCAATTTTGCAGATCAGTCAGGGGCTAATATTGTTTACACCTTGCGCATTCGAGTAGTTGCAATGAGCATTTGAAACTTTTCAAGCAACAATCCCAGTTCAAGAGGGAGTTAATAGCGAAGTGATAACGACGATGGCGTGGAAAGAATGTATCTAGACGAATTTTTTGGACGGTACCGCATTAATGCGATGAGGCTACCATATCTATCTACCTATCGCTACCTATCCGCTTATCGTAATCCACGTCGTAAGGCGAGCGCGGGGTATCTCGTGCCGGCTGTGATAATTGGACTATTCTATCCCACCCGTAGAGGAGTTTTTCGACTCGACCTCATATGGGATTGTTGCTTTAATACCTTTTGTTATATTATTTTGAGATAAGACTTAATATAATTATGTTATATTGTAGCATTATAAGATAGATAAAACAAGCATTGTTGATCCGAACATACGATAGAAAGAATTCGTAAAGTCGATCCTGATATTGTTATTTCAGGTGCATGCTCCTCCACCAGGCCATTATGATCCCACCGTAGATGGTGAGCATACCGTGGAAGAATGGAGAAGTGAGCTCAAATTGAAAATTTCTGAACGGATTTTTTTGTACGCACAGTCTTTGACTGGCCGAATCTGTGAATAATGGGTAGAAAGGCGGTATCGGATTAAGTGAACTGACGGCTATCCATGTACTCAGTTGGTTCAAGTGAAGTAGTTCTACGCTCCAGGCTTTTTCACGGCATTCAGGCCCTCTTCCGTACTTTCATGCCCCACATATCCTAAGCATTTGTTTTACTTTATTCCAAGTAGACCTAACGGCATTTCCCTTGTGTTTAAGACCACCTATCATCCTGATGTTCTTGTGAACATTTTCTGATTTGACTTACAAACTAGTGCATGTGAAGTACTGTAGCCTAACATTTGTGAACCTGTAACTTGAGAGCAAGATTCTAGGTCGAAAAAGCTTCAAATGCCCGGAAGAAACGCTCTTGTTTTTTGTGGTGCTTTTTTTGGATGCACATTCATTAAGAGGGCCAGCTAGCTTTTTTAAGTAAGCGTATCACTGGAACTCTGATATGTTCAACGTTGAAAGGCAGTTTGGTTCTCGCAATTTTTCCGCACTTGATCTCCCTTATTAACCCTTACGTTTTGACGCCGTCCAGGTTCAGGTTTTACCAGGCGTTAATGGTGGAAAGCATGACGTAAGCAGGTTCAAGGTGGATTTAATAGCATTATTTCAGCGATGCTGTTTTCGGAGCTACAAAATTACTACAGGACGCACGATGTGTACGGTGTGACACAGCGACGATAAACGGGTCATTATGCTCTGTTTTTCACCTCCGATAACTAATGTTTTTCATCCAATCCGGAGGAAGAACTCTGGTCAACCTTTTCGCGTTTCTCCCCGTCTTTTTACTACGAAATATTTTGTGTTGAGGTGAAAATGTTGATTCTTGAGCCTTAACTAAACGCTCATCGTTGTGAGTTATTGCTGCAAATTGCGTTTGTTATGAGAACTTTAACTTTTAATGTTGTTATGTTTATCTTATATGAGAGATTTTCGTCTCAAATAGTTCTGTGATTTTAGCCTCGATCAGCTTTACCGTACTAGTTCATTTTCTCTTGTCTTGTTTCTCAATTTCACATGAGCTGATTCTTGAGGAGAAACGTTCCTTGTGTATGTTGTTGTTCTGCATTGCAGTTTAAGTTGCCTTTGATAAACAGATTTATTACATTTTTCTTGTGCTGTTTAGAAGCCTCACGTTGATCCCAATGTTGAAAACACTGTAAGCTGCTAAAGTTTATTGCAAACTCAAAAACGTGAATTATGTGTTCCAAAGATGGTCCTAGAAGTGATTTCCAAGTTCCGTTATTTTTATTTCACCGCACAGTTTATTTTATTGTTTCCCTTACTCCTATCAGGACGTTATTGGGTGGAAACGTTATTACGCTTTGACCTTCCTTCTCAAAAGCCTAAGGCTGGTGTCAATGTCCGGCGAATTCGATTATCTGCGCGAATTTTCGCGATTTGCAGCGATCTTTTGCGAAATCCTTCGGCGATGGGTCACCCAGGAGTGTTGAGGTGCCGTCCGGATGAATATCTTGCGAGGTGGTAGTTAAATCCCGAATGAAGCGAAGACTCCCGTGATCTCTGCTCGTTTTATGTGGTATATTCTATTATTCATGTTTCAATGCTCATTCGTTTCAGGGACGGAAACTCTGCATCTCTGTCTGAACATGACCATCGAGGCATCAACCGCATCGAGATTGCGTGCATCAACAAAAACAGTTGCAATGTGGCACCATTTGAAAACAACTTGAAACAAGGCCGAGCCGAACGCTGAAAACTATGTCAAGCAGTGGGAAGAGAACGACCTTGCAGTATGAATGAGGCAGCCTTGAGATTTCCGTGACGTCGCGTCAATCGGGCGAAAAAATTTTTTCCGCCCCGCAAAAAAATGCGCGGACTTTGACATGCACCTAAAATAGCACTGCTTGAAGCTCAATTGTTGTTCACTATCAATCCACTAAACGCCCTTCCCTTCTAGTGTTCCTTACTTCATCGGTAATGTACGGGAGGTTAATGCTCAGAATCTCAAAGAATAGGCTGACCTCCGGTTGCACCGGTAGAGTGTAGTAATGCCACACTCAATTAGCGTAAAGGTGTCTCCTGCTACATTCTTTGGAGCGCATACCAAAACTTCATTTAGTGATTTCTAGATATGCTCACTTAAGGTATGTCACTTAAGTATACAGTTCAGGGAGGGCCGAAAATTTCAATGCCAGTAACTACTGAGGCGATTACGCCAATCTGCTTGGCAACGAGCCCTAGTGTGAAGAACATATGCAGTGGAAATAATAAACGAACTTACCTCAGAAACTCAAAAACAGGGTGGAAAGTCCCTCAAACATGGGTGTTCTTGGGGATTTCCCCAATCCCGCCCCCTTGCCGGCCGTCATTGGACGCGTCGGCAATCGTGCTTCGTTGATGGCTCGTTTTGGGACCACAGGGAAAATTGATTGAAAAATGGAGCGCGTTTACAGCGGGCACGTTCAGACAACTCGTCCAACGTGCGTCTTTATCCATTGCTGAGCGGCAGAGGGAGAGTACCTGTCTAAGACCCTCCCCGACGTTTTTTTCCAGTTTTTCATACATTAATCGTCTGGTTTTCATCTACAACTTCATTATTGGTGGTTTTTTCCCGCGAAACCGTTCCTGAACTGTTGCTTTAAGCAAGGATGCGTGCTTACTGCGTTGACACCTGCCCCTGCACACAGTGAGTCCCATTGCGTACCTTGACAATCATCACTCATACTGCGATTCGATGTTCAGTTCAAAGTCAAATTCAAAAAATATTTAATCATGTTTTTTTACGCTTCGATCTATGATTCTAAAAAGCCCGAAAACGATGAAGCCAGAACTTAAATCCGCCTTGCGATTCACTTCTTTCTCCTCATCCATAGTGCAGCGCCAGAACAGTTCAATCTCCCAGGAGCCTACGGTTTGGCAAGGTGACCCCTGGTGTAAAGGGAGAATAAGAAGTCCGGAGAAGAGGAAACCTACCTTAGTATAGACTTGATAACATTGGCGCAGGGTCAGAAGCGTGTGCGTTGAGAGAAATCTTTCGTCGAAGATGTTGTCGTAATCAGGTCCAAGTGGGAAAGGAAAAGGTCAAGAACTGAATTCAAATGCAGTGAAATGGCCCGTCCAGCGAATGATGAGAAAGTTCGCGCGGATGTCGGAGTTTCACGGCGCAATCCCATGAGCTTTAGTTTACTCAGTCGATATGCCATGCGCTCCAGTTCCTGCTCCTTGCAGTGGATGTGAATTTGAGTCATCAAGAAGGCCCCGGAAGGGATCGTTTGAAATGACTGGAAGGAATCCACTGCACAAAAAAGAAGTACTTATTTAATTATTTATGTATTCGTGAACGCGTTAGACCATGACATGCTAAGCTGGAATAAGGTTGGCTGAGTAGGATAATAGACTAAACGACAACCAGAAATGAGCTAATGTTATAGATAAGAGTAGGAGATGAAACAGAATGAAATGGAATGCCACGGGGAACGCAAATTTGCCAATCAAGTGGATCGGGAACCGCTTCTAAATAGCGTAATAAGTAGGAGATAGGCGGGAAACTTTCGCTGCATTGAAATCGCAGGGTAAAATATTTTCTGTTTAACTCGAATGACCGAGGCGAGCATGCCGCATACACCAGACACATCTAAACCTAGAAGCTACCTATAGCACAAGCCTGCATCAGTCGGCAATGATGCCCGCTCGCCACTTGCGGGGTCATAGGTACTTGCCGCAACTTCGAAACACGGGTATACCGACCACCCTCGTGGAAACGGCAAGCAAGGTGAGTGTACGGGTAAGCCACTAGGAGCGTGAAAAAGAATAATCCGCAGTTAACTAGTATTAACTCAGTTACAGCTTTGCTTTGAGCTTGGAAATGCTTGGTATTGCTAATGTTTCTTGATGTATTGTTGCCTTTTTGCTGAACTAGTTTGTCGGTCAGGCGAATCATGTTGCTTCGTAGAGCTAGTGGGTGAATTTCGTGCTGATTACCCTCTTTAGAGTTCTGTCTGTCACTAGTAGATCGAGTAATCGACCGCATGCCGTCCAGTCTAGCCAGCCTTCTATCACTGCGAGTTCAGCAGATCAGCTATGGCTGCATATAACCAATAATAATAAATGATCCTACTTACTATAAAGCGTTTCTTCTGTCGTTCTGTCTGCCGTTCTGTATGCCGGTCACGAAATTCCCTAACTGGTATCCAGGACTTCTTGGAACCGAGTTATGAATTTTTGTCGCAAACTCCGCCCACTTTGGTCATGCCCCGCCCACCGATGACAGTTGACCTCCACTCCTCCACCCACCTCTATCCACCTTTTTCCGGCTCCCTAAGACTTCTGCCCGAATTATGAGGACTTGTAGAAAATGCTGTACACTTCAGAGCGCGCTCCGCCCATTGTGGGCGGGCCTCCGCCCACGTCATGTATGCTGGGACACCTTAGACATTGCTCCCCTGCACCAATTTTTTTCTGCTCTGTAGGCCTTCTCCCAACCAAGTTATCAATTTTTTTGTTAAGCACTGCTTAATTTGAGAACGCCCGGGGTGGGTTCTCCTAGTTCGATCTAACTTACCAATGCACACCTTTACCTACTTTTTCCCCCAGTTTCGAGGCTGTTTTGGTATAGTTTCCGAAATCCTGGTCGTCAGCGTCACTCATTTCGATGCACGCCACGCCCACTGTGGGCGGGGCTCCGCTTAGCTGATGTGTGTTTTGTACTTCGCGAGACCTTGCCCACCCATCCCACACTTGACCCGGTCTCTCCAGGCGGATCCCCAGGAGCTAGGGAATTTCGTGACAGACATACAGAAGAACGGCAGACGACAGACGGCAGACAGAACGACAGACGAAACGCTTTATAGTAAGTAGGATCCTTTATCATTATTGGTTATATGCAGCTGACGGAGTGGCAAGAAGCGGCGTTTTCCACACGCACGGCCAGGGGATCGAGTAATCGACCGCACGCCGTCCAGTCTAGCCAGCCTTCTATCACTGCGAGTTCAGTAGATTAGCTCTGGAGTTGTCGAGGGAAAAAATTTGATGACTTGAATATCAGCTGTTTACCTTTTTCGAATGATAATTGAGCTTAAGTAGTAATTAATTAAATAGTCAATTGAGAGAGATGCGAAGGGTAACGGGTCGGCGAGGTGCACGTGAATCGCACGTGGCCGCCAAGGGCTGGAAAGACGATCGCCAATGGGGAGAAAAAGGTGAAAAAACAAAGTTTCGTGTGTACACCATTCGATAGTATTTTTCATGGGAAATCGAATGGTGCACATTTCAGGTTCCAAAGTCCTTCTGGACAAGCAAAAAAACTGATCATATCACAAGGACATGACGAGGCAGTGATGTTTGGGGTCACACCACGGAAGGAACGCTCACCTGCGACCAAATTTTACCTAATTCCTACAGAGAAGTAACCGTAGTCTACGCCGGTGGAGAGATTCCTCGCTATCTTCTCAGGTTTCCACAAAACATCTCCTCTAAAAGTGGGGAATGTCACATAATGGGCCTACCACTACTGCAATCCTAGATGAAGCTCTTTCGAAAATTGAAATATAGCATCTTGTAAATCTCGAGAGCTATCA